CCCGTCTCGTCGCCGTCTCCAAACTCAAACCCGCCAGTGACATCCTTACCCTCCACACTACCAACCCACCCACACATCAAACCCACTTTGGCGAAAATTACCTCCAAGAACTCCAAGAGAAAGCCCGTCTCCTCCCCACCACCATCAAATGGCACTTCATCGGCGGCCTGCAGAGCAATAAATGCGTGACTCTGGCGCGAGATACCCCCGCGCTCTGGGCCGTCGAGAGCGTAGATAGTACCAAGAAGGCGTCGTTGTTGGATAAAGGGTGGGGGGAGAGGAGTGCTGAGGTGAAGGCGACGAATCATGAGGAGAGGTTGAGGGTGTTTGTGCAGGTGAATACCTCTGGGGAGGAGAATAAGAGCGGGGTGGAGCCGGGCGATGGCGCGCTGGAATTGTGTCGCTTTATTAGGGATAAGTGTCCCCGGTTGCGGTTGCAGGGGGTTATGACCATTGGGGCCATTGCCAGGTCGAAGGCTACCACGCCGGAGAATGAGAATGAGGATTTTGTGTGTCTGAGGGAGACCAGGGATCGTGTGGTCAAGGAGTTGGGCTTGCTGGGGGAGGAGGCCAAGTTGGAGTTGAGTATGGGCATGAGTGAGGATTTCGAGGGCGCTATTGCTCTGGGTAGTGATGAGGTTCGCGTTGGGACGACTATCTTTGGGGATAGGCCGCCCAAGGATCAGGCCAGGGTGGTTTGAGTCCATTAAAAGGTGTTACGATTCACGACGTGTTCTATAAGCATCATGCATTCTTAAGGGAGGAAAAGTGATGGGAGAGGAAGGGAAACCAAGACAGTAACTTCGACTGCTGCCTGTTGTACATTAAGATGAAAGAAAAGAACAAGCGTCCCGCATGTCCCAGGTATATATGTGCGATATCAATAATAAATACACCCCCCGCCAACTGCCACCTGGCGGAGTACGAAGAATCAAACATGCAGCATGACACACCCCGAGCATCATCGCCCACTGTCTCCTCGCTCTCCCTGTGACAGCTTCTGTTCCATCAGCTTGGCCAATGCCTGCGGCACCGATTCCTGTGTCGCGCGGATCGTGATGCGGTACATCTAAGTCATATAGTCAGCTCACTCCTTGCAGTCCTCGACGGGATTAACATGGTGAAGGGAGCAAACTTACCGATCTCTCATAGTTGGGCTCCAGTCGCAGGAGACAGCCCGTCTTGCCCTCAGCAAACTGGTACACTGCGCAGCCCACGATGTTCTTCGCATTCGGATCCACGTTGTCCAGGATCTTCCACCCAAAGCCTTCCACCACCCGTCGTGTGAACGACTCGCCAATTTCCTTGTGGCGCGCCGTAACGCCAAATGTTTTCTGTGCCTCCAGCGGGCCCCCACCAATCTGCCGCCAGCGCTTGAAGAAATCTTCTGCCGACAACGCTGATGGCTCCATGTATCGGTGCATGAGAATGGGCAGCTGTAACGTGTATGCCTGGAGCGCTCCCGCAAGATATGAAATGCGGATCGTCGGCGCTTCTGTAAATGGCCCACGCCCCTCAACCAAGAACGTTTGCTGCGTCTGACCCACGGCAGGCACCGATGGATCGGGAAGACTCTTCGTGTCAATCTTTAGGTTCGGTGCAGCCGGGTTATCCACCGTCGTCGTGAGGGACCCGATAGAGTAGGACGATTTATTAGAGATGTAGATCTTCACCACACCCATATGCCCCCGGTACTCGGAACGCAGACCAACTTGAATTTGCGCATCCTCAAACAGCACACCTTCATCGCCAAAGTAGAGTCGGTTGTACCCGATATCCCAGTCCGGCGTGAGATGAGCCGCACTGGCCATGTTCGGCGGCGGGCCTGATGGGGCGCTAAGATCCAGTCCTGCTAGGTCGCCCGATGCCCCCGATGTGGCTGTCGTGCCATTGGCCCCGGTCTTGTGGCCATTGACGATTGTGGTGAAGCTGCGCTTCAGTCCCGTGTTCTGCGCCATGAGCACCTCTTGTTTGTCGGCGTTGGCATCCTTGCCGCCCACCACCCACGTCTTCTTCTCTGTCGTGCCGGCTGTCTTCTGGTGCAGCCGAGAGAGCAGAATCGAGGCGCGCTCTGAGAAGGGTGGCATTTCGTCGCACACCGTCCGCAGAAGGTCATCGGTGGGAAGCGTCGCCAGCGACAAATATTCAAAAGCACGCTGCTGCAATTCAGAATCTGGGGAGTGGCTATACAAACGGAATATGTGCAGAAGTTGAGGTTTGATCTCGGGGAAGAGGTTGACAAATTTGACAAAGGAGGACAGAATCATCGCTCGTGTCGTGTCGGTGCTGGTGATCATCTTTGCTTGCAGCGCCAAGAACTGCTCAATAGGACTTGAGCCTTGATTGTCAGCGATCAGATGGCCAAATTCACCCAGAACATAGCATCCAATCTTCACCAAGCTCTCGTGACAATCGGTCTTCAGATATCCAAGCAAGTTGTGCGCTGCATAAGCCTGCAGCTCTTCGTTGTTGGTCACGATCTGGATTACTCGTTGCCACACTTCCTCGTTGACGTGATCTCCAGCCAGCGACAAGAGCTTAAGGGTCATGTCAATGTACCACTGCGCGTCGGTGGCATACTTCTCGGTGAGAATAGCAACCTTCAGCACCATCTCCTCGCGGATGGCGTAGTCGGCCGTCTGAAGGTAACGCAGTAGCTCGTTCACAATCGGACCGGCGTTTGTGGTGTCGCACATACTGTAAACCAAATCCAGACCTTTGCGCCGAACACTGATATCGCGGTCCCGGAGCGATCCGAGAATGATATTCTGGTGCTTCTTGATCGGATCTAGAGTCTCGGCCCGAGCCGCGAAATGCGTCATGGCTTCCAACCCCAAGTACCGAACATTTGTTTCTCGCGACTGGATGTACTTTCCAAGACGTGTAGATATTTGCATCATAAGGCTGTGCTCGGTATCGAGATGGATGAGGAGATTGATCGCCTCGAAAAGAACGGCATTCTGGGCATTGTTCTGCTGGACATTCTTCGGTGCATCCATGGCCAAGTTCATGATTTGCTGTAGCGACTCACGGATAATCTCGCGAACATGGCTATCCTCTGTTCAGTAGTTTAGTGGTGCACATACAGCCGATAATGATACATGGAAGACATACCTGCTGGAGGATAGTACTGAAGCAACCGCAACAGCTTGACCTGAATCCAAGGACATGGCACGCGGTAGTAAAGGTAGTCGGAGGCAATGTCGTTATCCACCACTATCCTTTTCAGGCGATGTGCGGCCTTGACGTAGCAACCTTTGTACTCATCGGGTTTATCCTGGGCCAATGCCATTACAAGCGAGGTGACCGAAAGCGTGACACCCATATCGGGGTCATCCATCAAGGAGATTATCCGTTCCGCCCAAGCGTTCTGTACAATGTCGGGGAACTTGCGATACAGTCGAAGGAGGGTCAGCGCAGCCTTCTTCTTGACAAAGGCCTTGGAGGTACTAGATCCCAGTCAGTCAGACAGGCAAAAGGCCGACGACAGAAGGACCGTAGAGGCACTCACGGGCTAATCAGGAGCCGATGGACGTCTGTCGAAAGCGCCTCGCCCATTTCTCTTCCGCCGACGTTCGCAACCGCGTGCAAGGCTAGACAGTTATTCAACTCATTGTGATCTAACAGATCCTTCCGTATACTGTTGACAACCAGGTGGAGCAGTTCATGCTGCTCGTGTAAAAAGAGAGTGACCGCCAGGTAACCGATCTGCTTCTCGGAGTATTTGGTGGAGGAAATCAGGTTCACGGCCTCGAGGTGACCGAAGTCGACATCGTATCCTTGAATGTAGACGTAGAGCAACTTGCAAACGTATTTCTTCTTCTGATAACCATTTAAACTGCCACCCTTGAACTTCTGCCGAATGTTGGCCAATTCCTTATTCACCCGCTTCTCTTCGAGTTCGCGCGCTCTTGCATTTCGCAAGTCGGCGATGAACTGAACCAAACCTCGCATAGACGACATGTTGACCGATATAGCATATGACGTGAGACCAATTAAGGATCAATTATTAGAGCAGGAAATCAAATCGAGAGCTGTCGAATTCGTCGTTCCTGAACTTCAAGGAGTCATGTAAGCGCAAACACCACGCTAGTGAGAATCCTCCAAATGAGTGTATGTCATACAATCATGTCCAGTCCCTCCTTTCGGGGTTGCTCGTTGTCAATTCCGCTTTAGTGGCTATGGTGCATGGAGCATGGCGCAAGGGCAATGGTGAGCCAAGTGGGAGAGCCGAGATCTGGAGGAGGAGGGGGGGAGGGGGGGGGGGGGGGCCTTTCGGGGAACGCGCGACAGGGGGAAAAAAAAAAAAAAAAAAAAAAAAAAAAAGAGGGGTAGGGGGGACTGTCCAGAGAGTTAGAAGAGCAGGAAGATGGTGAAAAGCCCGGTAGATGGCTCCGATCAGAAAGTCGAGCTCTCTGGGACAGGGACGAGCAGATAGACGTGGAGGCAGTCCGGCAGCGGAAAGGAGGGAGAACGAGACCCTTTTGGTCCAGGAGGGAAGCTGCCTCAGCCACTTCCGCGGGCGATCCGGCGGAGACCGGGATAAATGTTGTTGCGCTGTGGCGGTGCATCTGTCAACCCCATTTATGGAATAGGAGCTGCTGCTTATCCTCCTGGAGGAAAAGTGAAGAAAATCATTGTTTATTTTGGAGTTCTATGTTGGATGATCGCTTGCTAAGCTATATCAATTTTTACGACAGTGGCGTTAAACTTCCTACACACACCACCCACAAACTGCATTTGTGCTCAAGAGGAGTGGTTCTAGATCTACAGGAACCTTATCGGATTTCAAGGCACTGCAATCGGGTGGGGATACTGCAGCAGGGACATCACTCCGCAGATTGATGGATCTCCCCTGCTATTTTTCATTTCCGCTCTTGGCTCAAATTGAAATTGTCCTTTTGCATGTCGGTGAGAGTAATTGCCCTGCTACTGGTGACGAAGAAACCAGGAAATCTTCGAGAAACAACTCCTACACGCATCTCCCCACTAAATTCGGGTTTTCAGACAGTCATCGCATTAGGTATAATTCTAAGACATAATTGGATTCTTCGTCACTGATCCTGCGTAACCTCCCGCTTCCCCATGAGAATAGCCTATGGCAATGCAAAATAATTCAGAGTCAAACACCCACGCAACCATGAATCCGGTCAATCTCAGCCCCCGAAAACTCCGTAAAGAACACCGGTTACCCCAAAGAGCATGCAATTTAGTAACAGTCAAGAAGAACTCGATCAAGAACCTCCGCACAAAGGTGTAGGAGTGGACTTTTAAGCCCGGGTGGTGAAGTCAGTCTCGAGACCAACAGCAGCGTCAATGGCGCTGGCCTTCTCACAGGTGCAAGAAGCTAAGGTCTTTGTTAGCTCGGAATCATCTCGAAACCAGACACTTCAAAACTTACTGGAAGACCTCTTGCCGCATGGGCAGGCGGCTCCCGTCACCGGGTGGTTCTCAGTTGCCGAACGTTCACAGGTACATTCTCCGGCAGGACGAGCTCCTGGAGATGATGTTAGCGATTGGTCCACAGAAGCACCAAGCTGAACGCATGTGTGTCTCAAGTCTGCGTAGACAGGGAGAAAATGACTTACTGCAAGAGCATCGGGCGCCGCTCACGGTGTTCTCGGTGGAAGCCTTGTTGCAGGTGCAGTGGAGGGCGTTCTGCTTGCCGCAGGAGCACTTGGCCTGGGCAGCGCAAACACAGCTGCCATCACCAGAGGTCTTGCAGCAGGTGGAGGAAGGGTGGACCATTTTGACTGGATATTGATTTGACTGGAGAGAGGTAAAGAGACGGAAGACCGTTTGTTGTAATAAAGTAGTAGTTCTTGATCGGTAGACCGAGGGAGCAAGGACTATGTATGACGTAATCAAGGACGGAGCGGAGACTAGTTTAAGTAGTAGTCTTCAGAGTATCGATCTTTCTAAGACTTCACGAAGAACGTTTTGTGATCAAAGAGAACGAAGAGTGTGTAATATAAAGAAGCGATTCAAGTGGATTTCCAAGGCAGAGAAAAATATTCGAATGATGTATGCTGAAGAAGCAAAGACGATGGGGTTGTAGCAGGGATTTATACTTGCCGCAGTCGAGTTCTGCTGAGCGGCGGATCGGGCGCGATTAGCAATGTCCGCGCTCTCATTGGCCCGGACGGGGGCGATCGCGGACTGCTGACCATCTCAAAGCATCAGACATTGCCTTTCGCCCTCTTCTGATTCGACAATGCCTCCCAATATGGATCAATGCTCAGGCAAGACAGATCGCTTGCGTTTGTAATCCACGAGCGTAGACTGGTGGTGGCATGTTTGCTTATTGCCCAGTCCTTCTTCAATCTTGAGCGTTGTCATTGGTCGCCGCACAACTACTTTACTAGTATTACTTTAGTATGGTAGAGAATGATATCATCCCATTGGCACAGCAACTCACTTTGTCCTGGATCGTTTGTTCAGGTATCCTCCGCCCTAGTAGGCAATAAATCACCTAGCCGGTGGATGTTCCAAACTCTTATCGAAGGGTCGATCCGGGAACAAGCACCGACTGTTGGATCGGCGCGGGAGCTACAGTATATCTCCCGAGCAGTCAAATGCCGTAGACTCTATGCGGCGCTTACTAAGACCTCAATGTAGGAAAAGGTCGAAAAGCATTAGCAGGGAAGACAGTCTTGGAGATTGCACCATTCGCCGGTCGTTGCCAGTATCTTGTATAACCTTTAATAATTATCAACTAGAATATAATGTCCATGTACAGGTGTAAACCGACGGCAGCCTCCTTGGCCCACCCCCCAAAAAATAAACACAAGCTAGGTGGGCAGCAAGACCAGAGAAACAGAACCAGCAAAGGAATGCACGCAGCCCGCCTAGAAGAATTCAGAAATAAGAGAAGACTGGAGAGAAAACAGGCTGAAATCAGACGCCACTAATGACCCGCCGAAGAAAAGCTAGCTGATTTTGAAAGATACATGCATTTTTCCGCCTCCGAGATAATATGGAATGCAAGTGCAGAGGAAGCGGCCGAGAAAGAAAAGTCGGAAGAATGGGAAGGAGGAAAGAGATTAGGAGATGATAGTCAGGCTCCTGTAATGGGTGCAAAAGCCAGGAGCCAAAAGGAATGTATGTAACCGCAGCCGATTAAATGAGGTAGAGTTCCGTAAGAATTATGGGATGCACTGCGATTGTTGAAGCATAATATGGGGCTTCCATTTCCACAGAAACCCTGGATTATAGGTAGTTTGCGTATTCAAAAGTTTGGCCGCCAAACTTGGCCCTGGCTGGGTCGATTAGCTGTGGAGGATGGTTCATTCGGTCTTCGGCGGAGGTCGTAACGGCCCCCTGGGCGGTATCGGAAGGAAATGAGGCGGGAAGACTCATGCTGGAAGCATTGGCTTGCGAGTATGGCATCGCGTGGCTGATGCCGTATGGATGATGGTCGTATGAGTAGGACCGGTAGTCAGGCGCGTCTGAGACTGGCACGGATTGTAGGGCAGGCATCTGCCGTCCATGTTGCTGTAAATGAGAGTTTATTTCCATGCCACCATACCCCTTGGGAGCTGGCATGGCCAATGAAGAATGATAACTAGGTATTTGCTGGTCTGATGCCGGGATATGTCAGTTCACTGCTCATCATGGCTCTAGAGGGGAAAACATACTGTGACTGTCCACATTGTAGTGGATTGACTGATCGGGTGGACCTGTGGGTGATACGGAGCCCTCTAACGCCCGCTGGTGATCGTATCCAACGACCATGCCGTTAGCTGGCCGACCCAATGCGTAGTCTACCGGACGGCGACCATAAGCCATGCTGGGATGGCTCAATGGCTCCACTCCAGGCCTCGAAAAGCGCCCAGGGAAGTTGAGCCCGCTATTGAAGGAGGACTCAGAAAAACTGCTCGATCTGGGAAATGGGAAAGCACTGCGATTATGTCTGTGAAGGTCTGACAGTGCAGGGCCTCCTCTCCCGGGCATGACTCCAGGTTGAGCATAACTTTCGAAATGCCTGTCTGCAGCCGCCGAGAAACCATTTGTTGTTGAAGCCGAGCTCAGAGGGGATATAACATAATCATCATCATTTAGTCGGGGCAGGCCATCTGTGAGTAACATCTTGAAGGAGTTAGAAGCAGGATTACGTGCCAGAAGGGTTCGGGGAGACGCAACTGGTGCCTCTGCTGGTGTTTTATGGTCGAACGGAGTGCGTAGCACTTGAGTGGTATCGAAATCGTCGGGCAACGCTCGAGATTTCAGGATACGCTCTCGGTCGTTGCTTGTAAGCCGCTTGAGTTTGGCTCGTCTGCCACATATGCGTTAGTGACCATGTACGAGTGGCTTCTGTAAATATGAGTTGTGGGTAATACCTATTCTGGAACCAAACCTGGACTTGCCGTGGAGTCAAACCAGGGATCTCTTTCGACAGTCGCTCTCGATGGGCGGCATCGGGATGAGCCTGACGTGTGAATTCACTCATCAAAAATCGAGTTTGGTTGTGAGTGAGTCTACAAAGAATTGTTAGTTCAGTACACAGCCTCTGATGAGATCAACCATTTGCTTACCGAAAGCGCTTCATCTTTTTCTTTTCACTTTTTGAATCTGATGACTGTTTCTTGTCACCGCCTACTGACGACCCTGCCCCATCATCGGAGGAGAGCATGTCGGCGTCACCATCATCCTTCTCCTTTTCATGCTGTACTGCAGCTTCCCTGTCCTTCTGCTCCGGCGTCTTCTGGGTTGTGACCTGGGGACTGGCTGTCTTTTGGGGCCTTGGGAGCTGAAGTTCGTCGTGACCGTGCTTCTCCATCTTCACACGTGAAGCATCGCCCTCTGTCTCTGTGTGCCGATTCTCACGATTGTTGACGGAAGCGGGCCCTGTAGAACGCTGCTGTACCGGGCTCGATACATTCGACGGAGCCGCAGCTGTGAAGGCATTCTCAGCCTTGAGCACAAGTGGTTGCATACCGCTGGTAGACGGCTTTGTTGGCTCGCCCTCCTTTTCCCACGACCCGGGCAGCCTGGAAGGCAGGGCCCTCGGTCTTGACGATGCCTGCTCACTGTTCCAGGAAGCTGTCGACCAATGATTCGTTATGGCGGGTAAATGGGAAGTCGAAGGTGGCGACAACGAGGACAACCAGACACACGGTCCGCTGATTGACATGATAGAAGTAGAGTCTGCTATCCCCAAGAGCGTCACAACGGGGCAAGTTTAGTGCAGGTAGGTCCAAAAGGACAGAAAGATCCGGTGCACTGCTGTATAAATCTGACTATGGATGGAAGCTGCGACCAGGATCGCAGCCAAGGGAGAGTAGGGTGGGTCTGCACGAGCAGTCGGGGCGCTTGCTGAAGAAGCGCAGGATCTCCGAGCCGTGGACCGCGAGATGAAAGACGGAGGGAGGCAGAGAATAAGAACCTGTTGGCCGGTCCTCTGCAGAAACTTAGGGAGTACGGAGTAAGGAGACAGAGAACAGATGGACACAAGGCAGGGTTGGCTGTGCTGATAGTAGTGAGACTTGTGGACAAGCCGCAACAGATGAACCACGCTGCTCTCCTACTTTAGACTGTTCCCCTTGACTTGCCCCCGAAACGATAAAGGAGAATCTCGGCCACCGCTGGGACCAACGGCGAACGGCAAGAAATGAAGGTCGATCCCTTTGCTGGGTCCTAGGATACGGCCGGGGCGGGGGGTGGGAAACACTACCGGACGGTGGGTAGAAGGTTATAGAGCAGATTAACCCGTGCTTAGCCCAAGCCGGAAACAAAAGCACGATCACGGTAGTGGAAATAACGCAGGGCGTTAGACAAACGAAAGGCCTTGGTCACGGCCAACCAGAGATCCACTTTCAAGTTGGCCACCAAAAGTAAACAGCACCACAACCACCCTCGTCGTCGTCGTCTTCGGGCTAAAGATGCAACACCGAGGGCACACGACGGAAGGGTTCGTCGGTGGACGAGTGTCGGACCTCTGAAGGAACGAATGGCCTTCAGTCCTGAATACAGGGAGTATTGGCCAACGATAGGCAGATGCTTGATGCTAACGCGGAGGAACAAACTCAAAAAAAAAAAAAGAGTGTGTGGGAAAATTGGGGAAATGAAAAATAAAATAAAATAAAAATAAAATAAAACGAATGGAGAGAAATAAGATAAAGGAACGAGCGTCAGAAAACAGGAAATTGGATTGAACGGGCCACAGCTTAGATGTTCGGTACACGAAGATCTGGCACCATACTACAAGTGTCAACCCAACTTAATTCCCCAGAGGTAGGTAGGTGTACATCAGGCTCAGAGCCAAAAGAGAGTGTGAGAGTGAGAGAGAAAGAGAAGCAATGGAAATGATGGAAAAGAAGGGAACGGGGATCGGAGATGTTTCCAGGTTGGACCAGCTCCCAGTCCAATGCCCTAGTAGATCGCAGGACGACTAGTAGTGTACCCCTCTGGGCTAGACAGCAGAACCAGCAGTAGTAGGCCCGGATGTTGTCATCGGACGTACTGGCCAACGAAGGTGCTTATGATCACCACGCTTTTTTGAGGGCAGCAGGTAGTCCGCAGCTTGAACGTCACGGAGGGGATGAGAAGACTATGAGTTGTGCCTTACTATTCGATAGGGGTTTGAACCACGGTTGCGCAGCCGCGTTCGATCTGATATGGAGGACAGACGGGAAGAGAAGGAAGAAAAAATGAGATAAAATGGGAGAATTAAGAAAAAAAAAATAATATAAAATAAAATAGAAATAAAATAAATAAATTCGAAATCTAAAACAAAACAAAATAAATAAAATTAAGGTGGAAGACGGGAAGAGATCGAGGATGGCATGTGCAGTGGGTATCATGGATGGAAAGACAGCAACATCACGGTACATCATTAAAGTAAAAGTGGCGAACTGATAATCCACAAGAGGCCAAACCGACTCGGGCAAACCTGAATAACAGCCATGTACCCGGTAATTCAGTGACTAGACAAGAGGGCCGCCAGCTCGTGTTCGTTCATGAGCGAGGTGCTTCTTCAGTCGAGGTAACGGGTAAATCTCTCATGCATGGAGTGGACGAAACAA